TAGGCGGTACACAAGGGAAGATAAGGTCGAACAAGGACAAGGCGTTTAGGTGCCAGCAAATGGAGAGTTCGCTCTCACTTTCAATGAGCTTTAATCCACGAATGTCAAGCTTCACAATCTAAACCGACAAGACAACCAGATCGTAACGCCGTGGTTGGATATCTAGTCAACAGGTCGCGGGTTCGAGTCTCGAATGCCGCAGCACCTGGGATTGGGTATGACTCTCTGATGGTCACTTATGAGCCAGAAATGACCATTCCAGTCTCTCTTGCCTTTCTGGCAATTTTCACCTCTGCAGCGTATTGCGGTCAAATTGGAAGATCGGGCTCTACACACATACACAAACACCAGTTATCAGCAAAGAGGCAAGATCATTTGTCCTAAGTTTCCATACATACTCTGGAAACCAGAAATACATTTGCCTGGAACATAAGTCGCATTGTGTCTGTTCATCTATGAAAGGACAAGACTTTTCGGAGGTCCTACACGCCGATCAGTCGAGCCTTAATCGACATATCGAAAGATAGCTAATCAGAATGGGGTTCCAGCCTGCAGCGACGACTCTCTCCCTTTCTTAACACTTTATTCGAGATCCTTGCAGCTCGACGTTTTCTCGGCAGGGAAAACAGTTTTCTGGAAAAAGCCACAACTTTCAAAATGCATGGCACTTATTAAGCCAACATTGAAGTATGTTTAAACAGTCTAATTCCTTCGATATTTGATAGTTTCCAAAAACAGTTTTGAGATAAATATTTAATTAGATTTTTAATTTCCTTAGAAATTAATTTCTGTTCTCAGTATAGATTACGATATCCAAGGCATAGATCGAAAGTTGACATATATATATTTGGGCCGAACTCTATCAGCCAAACGGCTTTTAGCTAGTAACCTGTGCTGCCACTATGGTCAATTAGAACATCAAATATTTCGTCTTAATGTGAGAACAAATGAACAATATAGCCCAAAAACGAGTGCGCTTACAGTAGCCATGCCGGGAACTGCTCGCCAGGAGTCAAGTAATATGATATTTACTGTGCTCAAGTATACTAGGTGAAAAAAAATCTGAGGTCCAAATAGACAAGACAAAGGGGAGTAGACTGAAAAAGCCGCAATTTTTAAAATATGCAATAAGCATGATCAAGAGACCATAAAGCCCAGCCCTTGAAAAGCACAGGGCATAGGAATGCATGAAAAACCAACATCAACTCCGGCATTGTTCGCGTTGGACAAGTAGTCAGTAAGTAACGCGGCAAAATAAATAATTGGGTCCCTTCTAAGAAAGTGCAACTCACGTCTGCTAGGTGAGGAAAGAATGAGTACGCGTGCAGAGCTTCTTGATTTGGGGTCGTCTGAATGGTGCGAAGTAATTGTTGAACATCCGCCTGCGTGGCAGACACGGGAATTGCAATCTAGATAAATAAAATAGTGTTACTTTCATAAGGTTAGTAGCACTTATAATAAACAGTTAAACAATTTGCCACTTCTACGATTGGTTGATGAAGCTCGTTTAAAGGA